TGTCCTAGTCTCCCTGTGGGACTTGGCAGATCAGGGGGGGTATGTCACAATGTGCTCTGCCACAGTCCCCTGGTCGGCCTAGGATGATTCCCCGGTGGCGGGAGCCACCACACCATGTGACCACATGGTTGTATCAATTGCGGAGCAATCGGACAAGAGCACAGCTCCGGCCACACTTCTTTTGTTCCATTGTTCCTGTGGCCAAGTGGCCTCTGTTCTCCTTTTGGACTCTATTGTTCTTTTCCTTATTGTTCTGTCATGGGAATGCTTTCCCTTGCTCATGTATATAAAGAGCTCTGTAGCGACCCTTTAATACACACTTCTGTGACCCACTTCGACTTCAGCCCCACTTGTGGCATTCAGTCCTTTAGTGCTAGTGCTGTGCAACTGCTCCCTGCGTCGCCTTTTGATAGGCCGCTGGTGGGCGCTTGTAATGCTTGATGTTGAGCTCAATAAGGAAGGTGATTACATAACACCTGCAGCAGTGGCCTCTGGTGGGCACTTGTAACACTTAATATTAAGCAAATGCTTAGATAGTATCTGCTACACTTATACTCCTTGACCTTAAGCCTCATTATGTATTACAATGTTAGTACTCACATCACAATAGCTTTATACAAGGCATGTGGCTGTTATACATTACTAGAATGCATATGTGATGAATGGGAAGGGTTTTAAGTCATAAGAAAACTTGTATACACATTATGTTCAAATTGTATTTTGTGTTTTGTGGCTTAACTACTCAAGCATAGGCCTTCAAATCGATTCTGCCATACATTTGGATTGATGGACTACAACTTTGATGTCAACCATATAAGGCAATTTCCATTTTGGGAAAGCTATTTATCCATTCTTGACAACTATAAGCAGTAAACTTGTATAACAAAGGCAGTGTTTAGCAGATGCACAGCTGTAGTAGTTGTAGAGTTAACATAGAGACTCCTAGTATTGAAAAGTTCTCAAGTTGCATTGCTACATGCAAATAATGCCATTACAATAGTGGTTTTAAGTTAAACAGGGCATTTAAACCCATTATGTGAATTGTAATTGAAATAACAGTTTAATGATGTGTCCCCCCTTCAAGGTAACATGGGGAAGGAGTATATATACTATATAGATCCCATACATTAGCCTGAAGTTGAATATAGCACCTAAAAGACTCTAGCAATACCGCATTTTCTATCTAGTTGAGCTAAAAGGATTATAACACTAGTGGCATTGTAATTGAGAGGAAGGTGCAGAATTTGTCCTCCTCATATGTTACTTTACAGATACCTCAGATACATATTGAGGATGGCACATACCAGGTTTGAGCCAAATCCATCCACAGAAATAGGAGCTATTCATAAAAGAATGCAGGAGCTCAAGGGATTCCCTGTAAACCTGGCATTCCGGCATCCTGGATTGGAGTTCAAAAATACTGTCAATGGTTCTCAAGCATTGAGAACCATCAATGTCTTTTTTGAACTCCGAAGGGAGGCTGGAATGCCAGGGTTCAAACTCCGGGTGGCTGTCATAGGCCAGTGTTAGATTGGTTTCTTATGCTATAAAAGCATCTTTCTATGGCCAATAGAGTAGATGCTTATGCTCATCTGAATATAGTAAATATTCTGAATCCTTATGGCCATTAGAGCAGATTCTAATAGTCATTGAATTGGTTCTAATGTTGATTATAGTAACTTTGTAACATCATTAAAATACATTCTTATGGTCATTAAAGCAGGTTCTTATGACTGATGCAATACTTTCTAATGGTCATAAAAACACTTTTTTGTGGGTATTAGAGTAAGATGTTATGATATTTAGAATACTTTGTTACCATATTATAATGGTTTTGTAGGGCCACTTTCTTATAGTCATTGAAGTAGGTTGTTATGACCAATACAAGAGCACTTAAAGCGGGTTCATATGATGGTGATAATACATTCTTATAGTCATTAAAGTGAGTGGATATAACCAATACAATTGCTTCTAATGGTCAATACAATCACATGTGTGGGGTCATGAAAGTGGATTGTTATGATGATTCTAATATGTGCTTATAGTGATTAGAAAGAGTTGTTGTGATGGTTACATCACTTCCTTATTGTGATTGGAGCAAGTTGTTATAGTACCTTTTAATGATCATTAGGTGGGTTCTTATGATTGTTAGTGTTGTTTTTTATGGTTGTTAGAGTGGGTCTCATTGTTAATAGAGCAGATTCTAATGGTCATTAAATTAGTTTCAATGGTGATTACAGTGACTATGTAACATTACTAGGACACTTTCTTATGATCATTAGAGTGGACTTTTATGACTTATATAACATCTTCTTATGGCTAATACAGACACTTATTATGATCATTAGAGTACTTTGTTATCTTCATTATAATGGCTTTGTAGGGCTATAAACAGCTTTTGAGGGTCATTAGAGTGGATGATTATGGTCATTATAGTGAGTTGTTATAGTTATTATAGTAAGTTGTTATAACCATTAGAATATGTTCTTATGATGATTATAGTATGTCTTTATGACCATTAGAGTGGGTTTCTATGGTGATCATAATACTTTCAAATAGTGATTAGGGTAGATTCTTATAATCATTGTAATCCTTTTTTGTACTTGTAAAAGTGGTGAGTTTTATAACCAACACAATATCTTCTGATATTCAATACAAACACATTGATAGGGTTATTACAGCAGGTTCATATGGTGATTAAAGTGAGTCTTATGGTCATTGAAGTAACTTTCTATGACAGTTAAAGGGGGTTCTTATAGTCATTAGAGTGATCATAGTGACTTGTTATCATAATTGTAATACCTCCTTATGATCATTACAATAAGCTGGGAAGAGTGTTAAGAGTAGGTTGTTATAGCCATAACACTAAGTTGTTATGACCATTACAGTAGCATCTAATGGTAGTTATAGTAGGTTCTTAGGGTGCACTATTCAATTATTATACTACTTTCTTATGGTTCTTATAACAATTAATATGATGTCAATACATTGTTATTATAGTTACTGAAGTAGATTCTTATAATGGCCACAGTCAGTTCATATGACAATAGTAATGCTTTTTTATAATCATTAGAGCAGGTTCTTATAACCAATATGATACCTTGCAATGATTAATACAAGCTTGTTTATAGGGTCATAATGCAGGTTGTATGATTGTTTGAGTGAGTTGTTACAATTGGTTCTTATCATTATTAGAATGAGTTGTTATCATCATTAAGGTGGGTTGTTACAGTTATCATAGGAAGTTCTTATGACAATTAGAGTGAGTTGTTATGCACATTAGAGTTGGTTTCTATAGTGGATATAGTGAATTCTTACATTCATTAGTGTGCTTTGTTATGGTTATGAGAGTCAGTTGTTACAATCATAAAAGCAAGTTGTTATCATCATTATAGTGGATTGTTATGACCATTTGAATACTTTGTAATGATTATTACAGCAAGTTTCTATGGTCATCTGAGTGATCTGTTTTGATTGTTTTACAGTTGTTAGAGTGGATTGTTATAGTCAGCTGTGATAACCATTAAAGTAACTTCATATAACCATTAAAATAAGTTGTTATGGTAATAACAATACTTTTGTATACCCACTAGAGTAAGTTTTGATGATTTTTACAATAATTATGATACTCTGTTATACTCATCATGGGAACTTCTTATCATCACTAAAATGGATTGTTATGATGATTAGGGTGGTTTCATTTAATCAATGCGAGACTTGCTTATACTCATTACAATGAAATTAATGACACAACTTTTCATAATGACTGCTACACTTACCACAGCAGAGTTTGTTTGACTCAAAAGCTATCAAAAAGTAACAAGACATCTTCCATAAAAGGAAATGGCCTTATATGATGAAGACCAAAGTGGTAAAGGATCATTTTCTGAGTATGAGAAACCTTGTTCCAGCACTTTTACTTACTTAGTTAAGCCTTAAAATGCAAAATACTGATTTGAACACAGTGTGTGAAGCAAATTTGATAAACATGAACAATTGAATCTCCAATGAATCCAATTCTTATCCTTCATACAAAACATAGTTTAGAGACAATACAATACACCAGCAGTCAAATTATAAACTGTTTTCAAAGCTAAAGCCAATAAAATGCAGTAACCTCCATAAAAGGAAATTGCCTTATATGGTGGAAACAACACTTGTAAAACACCCTGCCAAGGGGTGAAAACCTGTTGTTCCTATGCTGACACTTCCTCACTTGAGTCATGAATTGAAAAACAAAATATAACATATACAGTGGTTGTGTGACTTTAATTGTATTTTTTCACTATTAATGAACATAATGTCAATGGTTGATATACAATAAAATTATACAATAAGCTCAAATTTTGATAGAATCATTAATCTTAGCTTTATTCAAAAACCATATATTATGCAACTAGTTATAATTATATATATATATATACACTTTAAGTAAGCTTGAAACATCTGGTTTCTCAGAAATCGGTCTGCCAGTATTGGCCCACTCCCCCCAAGTTGGTAAGAAAGTACTCTAATATTGGTAAGAAAGTGCTCTAATGATAGTAAGAAACTACTCTAATGTTGATAAGAAACTCCTTGCATTGCTGATAAGAAAGTATTATATTATTCATAAGCAAATGCTATTGTAATTACAGGTATAACACTACCAATAGCCAAACTTCTAAGTTATTGGTGCTCACCATGCACTTAGGCACTCAGTACGATTAGGTGCCCCGAAAGACTGCATGGATTAGGTATGCCAAAATGGTAAGTGTCCAATATCCAGCTTTGGAGCTGGTGGGGGCAAACCTTGGCCGATTGACATGAAACATGTACGTGCTGAATCCCACAGGCCAGGGGAGTCAGGGCGTATCCATTCCATACACAGCGATTGGGTTTGCAAATTGAACCCAACTGCGCCTCCATAAGCGCCTGTCTAGCAATGGACATGCTAAGGAGCACAGCAGGGAGGTGTGCAGCCCACTTTGGGGGCGCACAGTCTCCCAGGGGCCCATGGGTAGGGACATGGCAGTGTTGAGGGGCAGGGGCAGTGGGGTGAAGTGAGCGAGTGGGCGCGGATTGAGCGCATGTGCCCGCCGCCCTTGGGTAGAGATGGTGGTGGCAGCGTGTTTGCCTTGCATCGTCATGGGGTCGCCTGGGGGCCCGGTTTGCGAAGCGGGGCAGCAGGGAGTAGCGAGCAGGTGGGCATGGGTTGAGCGTGCGTGCCCGCTCCCCTTGGGTGAAGACAGTAGTGGCACGTTTGGAACACGTCGCAGTCGCTGCAGTTGCCAGGGACTGGGTGAGGGCAGTGGGCATGGTGGTGCCTACCGCCGGCATGTCTGGAGGTGAGAATGGGGGCCAGGGGTGAACAACCCGCTCGCCCTTTTGTGGGCAGGCAGGCAGTAATGGTGGCGGCGCGTTTAGGATGCACTGTCCTCATCTCATCTGCAACGGCGCAGGGGGGGGCCCATGGCCTCATTGTCAGCAGAGAGGTGCACGGTTGGAGGGGCTTATCTTGGCCCTGGCTGTTCTGTCACTCTCTCTCCAGTTGCTCCTGTTGGCCCTGGTCTTGGTGGGCAGGCCGTTGTCTTCGCAGTGCGTGCATTGAGGTAGCAGCGACAGGATGCAGGCATGGGTGCAGCAGAGCAGAGAGGAGGGGGAGAGGGCAGCAGCAGGGAGTGGTGTGGGAAAGGCCACTGCACAACCCCGAGTGGCACAGCCGCAGGATGCCAGGCAGGCTCCGAACCCTGGCATCCCGGCCGCTCACTCGGAGTTCAAAAAACATGTTGATCGTCTCATCTGTCCTGTGGCAATCAACATGTTTTTTGAACTCTGCTGATCGCACAGCCACAGTTGGTGTGATCTTCTGCCTCCTTTGGCTGTCAACCTCATCTGAACTTCCTCCTCTCAATCTCCCTTGCTTCCCACCCTGTCCAACCTTCTTCTCAGGGATAAGTACATGCATTCTATTCATATTTAACCTTGTATACTGACTTCTTTCCTTTCAATTACCCCTTACAGTAAATATCTGGTATTATGTGGCCCTTTGTTACTATCTGATCTTCTTTTCAGGTATTCCCCCTCTGCTATAAATCTCTATAAATTCTTGCAAACCCTTCCCACAGGTGAGTAATGCTTCATGCTATTTTTCTATTTTAATTTCTGCTCACTGACTTTGTGCAATTTCAATTACAGTGCATAAAATGGCATACAAAGGTCAGTATTTCCTCTTTTTGATTTCTTCCTGTTGCCCCCTCTCTCTGTAGTACTTGTGTATTCATTCCTACATGTAGAAACACCTTTACCCAGGGCTCTGGAGCATGACTTCTGGCCAGATGTGCTGGAAGTTGTCAATCACCCCAAAGTGGCCCATTTGGTGGGCATGGGCAAGGTCTATGTAGCTCTTGAGGACACTTCTCCCAAGGCTATGACCAAGCTCTTCAATGCTGCCAAGGATGCTACCATCCCAGGTCATTCTCCTGACCAGTTGCTTGCTGCTGGTGAGTCAATTTCAATTCTTTTCCCTTTTATTCCGCAAAAAACCCCTAATTATATTCTTTCAGGTGGTCTTTGCTTGGAGGCTGGGGACTTTCTCTTCTCCAGAGACATGCATGGTCCCCATGACCCCATGGATGATGTCCTCCATGCCTACAGTCAATTAATTCCGACTTAATTCCGCAAGAAATGCGAATAAATGCTCATTATATTCCTTGGACCTGCAATTGATCCTGAACTCATCTCTCAGCTCACCCAGGCTAAAGATGACCTCCTTGGCCCTAAGGAGGACAGGACAGCCAGTCCTGCTGTTCAGCAGGGGGACAACACTTGGTCAGGTGGTGTCCAGTGGGAGCGTAGTGACCTTACCACTCCTGTGACAGGTTCCAAGCATAGCTACACCCTTGGTACCACCCATCAGATCCAGTGTAAGGTGGCTAACCCTGCAAAGGGTGCCAAAATCTTCCTAGATGGCCTCACTTGGCATCACAAACTGCGCAAGTGTGCGCTTCAGGTGTGTTTTGACTTTATTTCTTTTTTTTAAATTTTCTACTGACTTGTGCTATATTCTCAGGCTTCTATCAAGGTGGGCATCAAGTGTCTGGAGTGGGGTACTTCTGACATGGCCCTGAACCTGAAGTGTAATGCTGAGGTACACAATGTCCAGCCTATTGGCTGTGATGATGCTAGTGGTATAGTCAACTATGTGTTTCCCACTGTACAAATAAACATCTCCAGCACTAAGAAGCTGGATGATGATGCCTGTGAGTTCTCTATCTTCCTTTTCATACCTGCATCCAACTGACTCTGTGCTCTGCAGTACAGTCCTTCCAGCAGGACTTGGGTCAATTTGGCAGTGTTCACACTGACCACAACAACTCTCAGGCAGGGCTCACATGCATGATCAACCATCCTGACCTTGAGGATGGTGATCAGGCTGGAGTCTTTGTTCTGATGGAGCTGGGCTTCTTTGTGAAGCAGGACAGCCTCACACTTGCTGTCTTCAGTGGTTTGCACTGGCATATAGGCTCTCCTCCTACCTCTGCCACCCCCTCTCCTTCTTCTGTGTGTCTTGCCTTTGTATGCTACCCTCCTGTGGGTCAGCTTGAGGGCACAGACCGCCTGGGGATGGCAGCTGGTCCAGATCATGAGTGGATAAGGCTCACACCTGAGCACATCAATCCTGAGTGTGTACTTGTTTTCCTTTGGTTTTCTTTGCTCATTGTTTTGTTTCAAGATGGCTGTATTGAAAGGCAACACAGGGAGCAGTTGCACAGCACAAGCACTGAAGAACTGAATGCCACAATAGGGGCTGAAGTCGAAGTGGGTCACAGAAGTATGTATTAAAGGGTTGCTACAGAGCTCTTTATATACATGAGGAGGGGAAAGCATTCCCACAACAGAACAATAAGAAAAAGAACAATAGAGTCCAAAAGTAGAACAAGGGCCACTTGGCCACAGGAACAATGGAACAAAAGAAGTGTGGCCGGAGCAGAGCTCCGGTCTGAATGCTCTGCAATTGATATAACAATGTGATCACATGGTGTTGTGGCTCCTGCCATCAGGGGATCGCCCTAGGCTGACCAGGTGACTGTGGCAGAGCACATTGTGACATGTAAGGACTGGCAAAGAATATGCCTGACTGGGAAATAATGGGAGTAACTTGCAAGTAGGCAGTAGGAATACAAAGAGAACAAATGGGGATGGACTACAGCCTTTGTTTGTGAGGGGATTTTATCTGCATGATGCACAGCAGGGCTGGATGTACATCCAATAGATGGGCCGCATCTCGGGGTTGGATGGCATCCAAACACCGGGTAGTCGTGACTCAAAAGGCCAAAGCAGGAATAACACTCACAGTAAAATAGCACTGTTGCATTGTTGTCATCTGTTGAATAGTAGCTGATGTCACATTGAGTGTGATGGTGCTGCTAGAGCACTAGTGATACCAAAAGACAGTATGAACAAAGAAAGAGACCCAAATTTTCAAACACAGAAGCTCACATGGTTAGGGATTGAGGGTTGAAACTTGAGGATGCTTGGCCCAATTTTTCCTGTCCTGCTACTATTGCTATAGAAACATCATTTAACTGTACGATGTTCAAGTACACATGTTGTGAAATTAAAGGTTGCAGTGCATACTACATGGGAGAAGTGGCTAGTCACCAGTTTAGAGGCACTTCCACCAAGATTATTGCCTCTGGATGGCAACAGGAGACATGGTTATACAGCTAGAGGAGATCCCTTGTTAGAAGAAAATGTTAAGCTTGAGCCTGAACATAGTGATACCTGTATTGAATGGCTATTATGTAGTGGACACCTCCTGTTCTGAAAGCAATACAATGTATGTGAAGCACTGATATACAGACAGAATGCTTTGCACTGCAACTAAGTCTGATATATAGAGTAAGTCGCAACTGGAGATAAGATGCTATCTGTAACCCAAATTTGTTTTGATTATGCTAGGTAACATGACATCACAACTGGCAGATTGATCGAGACAATTGTCGGGAAGCACAGACCAATCTATGCAGGTGTCAAATGTGTGCTCTGACACATATGAGATGGTTAAGAACCTCTGAATCTATAATATAGATCATGTTCATACCCTTGAAGTAATGTATATGAGACTTCATGATTTTATAGTAACCAAGGTCCAATAGCTCAGTGGTAGAGCACCCAGTGCATTTCTGGTAGGTCCCGGGTTCAATCTTTGGTTGTGCCGATTTTTTCATGCAGGTGTTGTGCAGTCAAATTCTGACAACAGGCCTAGGATATATTGAGCAAGTCCATATACCACTCTTTCCTTCCTCAACCTGTGCTGTTGAGCGAACAAAGTCCTGTCAGGATTACAATGATTCATACACCACCACTTCTGTTGCAACTTAGGGTCAAGTGACAGGGAAAGAACAGACACAAAGGTTGGGGGCATTCAACTTAGTCTAACCAAAGCAATGGTGAGTGAAGCTCAAACCTAAGGCTAGGAACAAGATAATATTAGCCAGTAAGGAAAGATAAGTAAATACAGGAGAGCTTACTGACCTAGGGACAAGAGGTCAAAACTGAGGTCCCTAGGGCAGCAAAGGCAGGTTTATATGCATGTAAGATTTAGGGCCAGCTGTGTGCACTGGTCCATGCACTGCTGGTCTGTGTGCAGCATGCTGACACAGCCCTGGAGGCCGGTGAGTCAGAGCAGCTGTGTCAGCAGAGCCCGGGTTGTGGAGTGTACTGCCATTCCATCTAATTTAATCATACTAGGTTTAAGCGGGCCATTGCTATGCATGGCAGGGCAATTCCTGAGGTTTAGATATAACTTAAGTTTGACCATATCACCACTTAAAGTAAACAGGTTATTGCCAGCTAACCAGTTTTTCACCCAATTTCAAGCTTGCTTGAAGTGTTTATAATAACAATGATTATGGTTGTAGACCTCCTGATAAAATCATACAATGTTGTAAAAATTATATACTCTAATTACATACATTGTAATTTGCTTATCTTGTAGAAAAATACTATATAAAAGCATTTATTTTTACAATTGCTTTGTGACTATAACAGCATGCTATAATTTACTGCTACTATAATGATAAGCCTGTGGTTTACTTGTATTTCAGTCTAGCTTCATCTTTGATGACTGCATTAGTATATAACCTCATTGTACATTAGCAAACTATCAATCCAGCTTAGGTCAACCTTAGTTTTTTTGAAGGGATTAGTTAGCTTAATCAAGCAGACTAAGTGCACTTAACAATAAGTTGAGCAGAATGAAGAATATATTATCCCTTATGCAGTCTTGACCTTTAACATGCAGGATATATGATTGTAACATTGATCCTGTCATTACTTGAGTTTATTATAAGATTTCATGATAATAGTGTGTTATTTCAAGTAGAAGTGTACACCTTTTTAGCACCCTGTACCAGTACACTATACTAGAATTGGAAACAGAACCCATTGATCATAAAAACAGCCCAGACTAACCAAACAAATCCAGTCAATTGGCTATACTTTGATGTGTGACTAAAATCTCAGGGATGTTAGTAATAAATTGCTATTTCACTGATAGATATAAGCTATAAGGGCTGACACTATGAATGTACTATATCAGGCTTGGAAATATGATCATTTGTGCATAAAAACAGCCTTCATTGGCAAAAAAACCCAGTTAATTGGCTATACTACAATGTGTGGCTGAAATGTGGCTGAAATAGCGGAGTTGGAAATGAGTATAAATTGTCCCTCTGGAGGAGTTCAAAAAAACCTGACATTGTCCGGAGGATGACAGGTTTATTTGAGCTCCGACGCTTTTCAGCCACATGTCAGCCACAACAACATAAAGTCAAAATATAGCCAAAAAACGGATTATTATGATCATTACAGGCCATTTTTACACACATTAGAGCACATGCTTATGTTTGTTACTGTAAGGTGTGATGGCCAATAGCAAAAATGTTAACAAGGCTTCAATTGGCCTGTGACTTATTAGCTTACAGCTGCTAAGAGCAGATAAGTGATCTTCCTAAAATGAAAATTGCCATATATGGTAAAGACCAAAGTTGTAGTCCATCAATCCAAATGTATGACAAAATTTGTTTGAGAGCCTATACTTGCTTGGTTCTATCATAAAATGCAAAACAAAATTTGAACACAGTGTGTACAATAGATCAGGCTTTGGCTGTAAGTATACAATATTATTATATTGTATGCTTGTAATGGGATCACAGCATTATTGTAATAAAAGACGGCCACATTGATTATATTTATAACTAACAAGGCAGGATGATCAGATTGTGCCCATATCAGGCAACTGATAAGATGATCTTTTGTTTGATTGTTTGGCCAAGTCATGTCGGCTGGGTTTGAATTCCACTCTCTAATGAAATTTGTTACTGGTAACAAGCAATTTTAATGTGATTAGAGTGGACATAACAAACATTGTATTCAAAACCTACCCCTAACCCTAACTTATGAGCTCTTTTTCTTACCACTTTGTATTGATGGGTTCCTACACTTTGTGCACGGTTGATCGTTGCATGCTGGGCTCTATATAAAACTCATCCTTTGTACCTCAGGAATTATAATAGTAGATAACGACTTGTCCGTTTGAGCATATAGTACAGAGATTGCAGGTTCAAGCCCGCAGAAAGGAAAAAAATTAAAAAACAGCTAGACACTGTGTCACCTCATGACAACTTCATTTGTCACAAGTTGCTATGTCATGGTCTATTTTTTTTCTTTTCCCTTTTCTGGGTTTGAACTAGTGACCTTGCTATGCAGGGTCATGCTGCCTCAATCAATTAGACTAGATGGCTGTACGGCACAGCACGAACACTGCTTACGCAGCCTCTCTGACTCACCAAGCCACTGCCTCAGTGGCTGTAACACAGCAATGCTACGCACAGACTAGCTGTGCACGAACCAGTGCACACAGCTGGCCCTGAACCTTACATGCATATAAACCTGCCTCTGCTACCCTAGGGACCTCAGTTTCGACCTCTTGTCCCTAGATCAGTAAGCCCCTGTATTCCTTTTTACTTACCTTTACTAACTTAATACATTTACTTGTCCCTAGCCTTAGGTTTGAGCATACTTACCATCGCTTTGGTCAACCCAGTTGAACACCCCCAGCCTTTGTGTTTGTTTGTTCCATATTGCTTGACCCTAATTCACGACATCATTCATATGCAGCAACTGTCAAACATCAATTTTCCCAGAATAACTACTGTGCCATATGAAATCTATACCAAAATGTGACTCTCTGCAGCATTAATTGATCACATTGTCCATCAATTGAGCAAGCTAAGCCCAACAAAGTTGCGAATTCACCTCAATCTTATGCCAGGTGCAGGTACCAGAACTGGCTGTTATTGCCACCATTGGTGGCCTGGAGGACAATCTGAAATACATCTAGTGAGAGTGTGGAGGTTCTTCATTTTAGTTGCCCAATGGAGTGTTGTGAGGGTCATTTCTGAGTGCAAAAGGTGTAATTGCATGAAATGTATCACTGCAAATAAGCTGGAAGATGCACTCATTTGCATGAATCCCTATACAATGATCACCATTTACCAAAAAGACTATATGGCAATGGGACCTTCAGCTGGTGGCAACACTAGTGTAGGCAGAAAATGTACCACACACTTGGCAGTTGGCCTCTTTCGCAGTGGTGTGGTTGATGAACTGTGCCTCATTTCCCACATACATGCTATTGATATTCAAAGAAGCATCCAGGTCATATATATAGCTACAACCACAATGCTTTGAAAGCTGGCTACACAACCGTCAACATGGGCATTTCAG